TAAAATTTAGTAACATAGTTTTTTTTTAAAACTATTTTTTAAATATATGATAAAAAAAAATAGATCGAGTTCAATTAGAAGAAAAAAAATACCCCACAAACCCGTGAACTAGAACAACTAGGATTACCTCGCTAAACTTGCAAACAGGATCATTGACTCTGCAAAGTTTAATATCATAATTTTTTTATTCCTAAATTATTTTTTGTTTCACTAATTTTTTTAAAAAATAAATCATACTGCAATCCTAAGATTTTTTTCGATACCTACTCGATGCTATGATTTTTTTAGTATTATAATAACTATATAAAAAACAAATTAAAATAAATTATTAATTCTAAATATATGTAAACGCATTATATAAGAAACAAATTAAAAAAAACAATACTTAAAAGGAAAAAAGAGAGGTCAAAATGCCAAAAAAAAAAAACACTGTAAAATACTACTATTATCCATAATGTTAATGAATATATAAAAATAGAGTATTCCAATCCTTTTAACTTTATATTTAATGTCAAAAGCAGAAAAATGTCAACTATTTTTCTCACTGCTGGTTAAAACCCATACCTCCATTGATGAATGTCAATAAAAGTCTCCAATCATCCAAAGAAAAATGTCAGCGACAAGGACCCACCTAATAAACTTGATAGATGATAATCATATTAAAATCAGCCTTACCCAAAAAAAATCAATCATTGAACAGCCACATGATTGATCAACATACTATGATTAGGATCATAATTATCTTATTAGACGGGCAAAAGTTTCCATCCAATTCACCCACCGAACGATATTTATTATCAAGTTATAAAAAGGCTGATAAAAAGGCAAAGGGAAAAGAAAAGCCAACAACCTTCTTCACTCAGCAAATCAATCCATCCTTCATTATCAAGTTTTCCCTGCAATTGTTGCCGTGTCCTAGCACATGATGTGATTCCTTAACAAAACTATAGTATATACTTTTCGGATTCATGCACAAAAACAGTACTCTTTCAAAACAATTCTTTGTCCTCAAATAAAATGCCCATCTACTACCCTTCAAATTCGAGAAAAGAAAACTTATTGGAGTAAAAATCTAAAGGGCATGTGATTTCAGTATTTATACACACATAAAACACCGTAGATCTAGGTATATTGTGTATTTTTTTAAATAATTTATTTTGATCATTAAAGTTTAATTTCAAACATTTTAATCTTGAAAACTAATTATTTTTTATTTCTTAGTCAATGAGAGAATTGGAAAAACAAAGATCAAAATAAAAAAAAATCAAACATGAATGATATATTATAAATTTCGAGAAGATACACAATATTTTAAAACTATTTTCACGTAAATTTTTCTTCACTTTTAAGGAAGTAATAATGTTCTATATTTTAGAGATCACCCAAAAGTGCTCTCTAAATAATGATAAATAATAATGCATAGAAAGTGTACTAGTTTATTTGTTTGCGCTCCAATGTAAACCAAACCATGTTTTTAAAAATGTTAAAAAAATTATTAAGAGAGCAGAGATCTTTTTGCAATGTTATAAACCCGAACAAGAAAATGAATCTTGAAATCTCTTATCTTAAATCATTGCGTGATGCGAGTTTCCAATTAAACTTTTTAAACCAGTAGTCTAAGGTATTAGACCGAAAATACTATATATAAAAAAGTAGTGTAACTCAATTCCTAACAAATCTAATATCAAATGATGAATTATCACTATTATTATTCCATCACTTTTATTATCACTAACATTATAATTGTCATCATCATTCCTATTATCAATAAATAATATTATTATCATTATTAATAATATTATTATTGTGATTACGAGCATTATCATTGTTACCATTATTATTATTACGGTTAATAACACAAGTATAACTATTATTATTATTATTGTGATCATTATCACTATTAGTATCATAATTATTATTACTACTATTACTATTACAAATACTGTTACTATTAATATTAATAACATTAATTAATACTATTAGTATTATTACTTCCACTACCACTAATATTATTATTACTATCATCATCACAGTTATTGATATCATAACCACTACAACCATCATAATGAACTATTATTGTTGTTGTTGTTGTTGTTATAATGATGATGATACCATCATCATCATTATAAATACTATTATCACAATTATTACCATCATCAACACCTGAATGACATGGACGCCACCCACTCTTCGGAGCATTTGGAATACACATCAACAAATTTTAGAATAAAAAATTAAAAAGAAAATATAAAAAATTCCAAAATATCGTCATAAACATGTTAATTATACATAATACTCGTATGAAAATAGCAAAACACCCTTAAAGAAAAAGCTTATTTTTTTGGTCTTTTACAAGGTTAAAAATATGTTTTCACTGTATATAGATTATGAAAAAACCATAAACATATTTGCCAAGCTCAATAAATTTTTGATCTCAAGGGTAAAAAAATATTTTTATTGTTAAGAAACTTGGAAAAAATAAAAAAACCCTTAGAAAATATGTATAAATGTTGTTGACTCTTCATAAAAGAATATTTTACTGTATAAAATATTAGAAAACAATAAATATACTCCTCAATATTTTTTTAATAACTAATGGGCTAGTGGAAAAAACTAACAAATTCCCAACTTCAAGATATAAGTTTTCTTTATTTAAAAGTAAAAGAGTAATTTCACTGTAGTAATTTATAATATATATGCTTTTACTATAGTAATTTACAATAATTTATATGTAGAGTTGCACTAAAATCTTACGCTATTTAATTTTTATTTTAATAAAGTATGGACACAGAAATTTTACCATAAATGAAAACGGATCCTGTGAAGCTACGATACCATTATAAGATATGTTTTCATTATGAATATTAATTAGGGTTTAATTCATAAAACAACATTAGTATTGTATATTTAACACATATATTATATAATTATGTATTATCATAATATTATATAAAGCTGAGAAAATTTTATGATATACACAAGTTATTTTATTATGCTAAACTACAAGTTAAATAAATTAATGAAGAGAGCAGAGATTTTTTTGCAATATTATAAACCCGAACAAAAAATTGAATCTTGAAATCTCTTATCTTGAATCATAGCATGATGCGAGTTTCCAATTAAACTTTTTAAACCAGTAGCCTAAGGTATTAGACCGAAAATACTATATATAAAAAAAGTAGTATAACTTAATTCCTGACAAATCTAATATCAAATGATGAATTATCATTATTATTATTCCATCATTTTTATTATCATCACTACTATTATCACTAACATTATAATTGTCATCATAATTCCTATTATCAATAAATAATATTATTATCATTATTATTAATATTATTATTGTGATTACGAGTATTATCATTGTTACCATTATTATTATTATGGTTAATAACACAAGTATAACTATTATTATTATTATTATTATTGTGATCACTATCACTATTAGTATCATAATTATTATTATTACTACTACTATTACAAATAATGTTACTATTAATATTAATAACATTAATTAATACTATTAGTATTATTACTTCCACTACCACTAATATTATTATTATAATAATTATTACTATTATTACTATCATCATCACAGTTATTGATATCATAACCACTACAACCATCATAATGAACTATTATCATTGTTGTTGTTGTTGTTATAATGATGATGATACCATCATCATCATTATAAATACTATTATCACAATTATTACCATCATCAACACCTGAATGACATGGACGCCACCCACTCTTCGGAGCATTTGGAATACACATCAACAAATTTTAGAATAAAAAATTAAAAAGAAAATATAAAAAATTCCAAAATATCGTCATAAACATGTTAATTATACATAATACTCGTATGAAAATAGCAAAACACCCTTAAAGAAAAAGCTTATTTTTTTGGTCTTTTACAAGGTTAAAAATATGTTTTCACTGTATATAGATTATGAAAAAACCATAAACATATTTGCCAAGCTCAATAAATTTTTGATCGCAAGGGTAAAAAAATATTTTTATTGTTAAGAAACTTGGAAAAAATAAAAAAACCCTTAGAAAATATTTATAAATGTTGTTGACTCTTAATAAAAGAATATTTTACTGTATAAAATATTGGAAAATAATAAATATACTCCTTAATATTTTTTTAATAACTAATGGGCTAGTGGAAAAAACTAACAAATTCCCAACTTCAAGATATAAGTTTTCTTTATTTAAAAGTAAAAGAGTAATTTCACTGTAGTAATTTATAATATATATGCTTTTACTATAGTAATTTATAATAATTTATTTAGTAATTTACAATAATTTATATGTAGAGTTGCACTAAAATCTTACGCTATTTAATTTTTATTTTAATAAAGTATGGACACAGAAATTTTACCATAAATGAAAACGGATCCTGTGAAGCTACGATACCATTATAAGATATGTTTTCATTATGAATATTAATTAGGGTTTAATTCATAAAACAACATTAGTATTGTATATTTAACACATATATTATATAATTATGTATTATCATAATATTATATAAAGCTGAGAAAATTTTATGATATACACAAGTTATTTTATTATGCTAAACTACAAGTTAAATAAATTAATGAAAGAGAGCATAGATTTTTTTTTGTTAAATTATTCTATTTAGTTTTTTTTACTTTATTCAGTCAGGTATAAACTGGCAGTAAAAAATCTTAAGAGAGATTCACCAATGATAAATAATGTTTTTTTTTTTTTAAAAAAACGAAGGAAAAATAAAAATAATTCATGTGTCAATAGAAACAGAGCGCGTGGGAATACAAGAAGACACAAACCAAGAATGTCTTGACGCATTGGGGTCTTCACTCACTCTTCAGTTCTCAGTCTTCTCTAAAAGCCTGTCTGTTCTTACGCGCCATCTCATTAATTAATTAATTTAATAATATTAATATATAGTAATAACTTTAACATTTATTTATTTATTTTATTACATATTTATTCTCATTTCTCATTTTTTGTTATCTGCTCTACACTACTCCACTCTCTCTCTCTCTCTCTTTCCCTAGATCTCTCCATCTCTAGGAGGCCCTTCAATCATTTCACAATATTGTTTATTGCCATTTTGGTTTCCATTTTCAAGGTGCATGCTTTATATTGAAGTGTTTCCAGTTCTTTACCTTCTTTAGATTTTGTTTGTTTGTTTTGGTAATTTGGGTTCTACATTTTTTTATGGGGTTTTTAGGGTTTGTTTTGTAGTGAAATTGTGAGTCTGGTGGAGGGTTTTCAATCACCTGATTCGATAGCTGAAAAGATTAGGCATGACATTTTAATGGTATTTAGTTTTCAGGTTGTGATTCTTAATTTGTTGTTGGAGTAAAGGTGGTGGTTGTTGTTGTTAGTTTTTTCATTTTTAGCGTTGTAGGTTGAGGAAATTTGTTTCCTTTTTTGGATTAGGAGTCGGTGGGTTTGATAAGGAAATGGAAGTTTGACAGTAAAAGAGCAGTCATTGAGTCACAGTTAAGTTATTGTGCAAAATTGTGTGGTTCTAGTGTTCGGTATTTTAAAGTTTCAATCTTGAGTGGGAATTGCTTATGCTCTTCTGGTGCTTGATTTTGAGATATATAGTTTAATTGCTTATTTTCGATGAAGTATAGTTTGGTTGTGTGAAAATGGGAATGGAAGAAGAGGATACAAGTGTAAAGATGAGATTTTTGAAGGGTAATTATTGATTCTAAAGGAGAAGGGTGTTTTTGGAGGTGGTTTAGGTACAAAATGGGTTGCATGTGCTGTAAACCCTCTGCAATTGAGGATAGTAAGGAGAGCCCAAGAGAGAGACTTTCAAGTAAGCCCTCGTCTGACTTGAGGGTATCAAGGGCTACCTCTTCAAGGAGAGAGGAAGCATATAGAGCGAAAGATCAATATGATAGTAATGATGGTAGGACAATGTTGATTGATAAGCAAGTGAATGGGTCTCTTAGAGGGCATGGGGGTGAGCATGTTGATAGGAAGAGGGACAAGTCAGAGTATGCAGTTCTTCACCACCCAGGTATGGGCAGCATACCGAAAGCCACTGAAGGGGAGCAGGTTGCAGCTGGGTGGCCTTCGTGGCTAGCTGCTGTGGCTGGAGAGGCCATCAAAGGTTGGTTGCCACGGCGTGCCGATTCATTTGAGAAGCTGGACAAGGTATGCCCTTTTCTTCGTTTTGTTTTTGTTGTTATATCTCATTTTAAATCATTAGAACACGTCCTGCAATTACTGATGATCTTTTTTCCATTTTTTAAAGTAACTTTATAAAAAATCTCGAAGCTCAACGTTGACATGTGTTTTCGTTTAGAACACGTCCTGCAATTACTGATGATCCTTTATTACATTTTTAAAGTAACTTTATAAAAAATCTCTAGGCTCAATGTTGACATGTGTTTTTGTAAGCTCTGCTCCATTGCAAGTAAGATTCTGTTTATGATTTTCAAAATTTAGCAATTCAAACTTAATGGTTGAAGAACATGCTTATGACACCTCAATAGGTTCATAATGCAATGAACAAAGTGACGATTGGTAATTAGAATTAGAACCTTTTTGGACTGTTACATTTTTTAGCATTTTCATTTGTGCACGCATTGGATATGGTGAGTTGTCAAATTTTATAGCTTTAGCTTGAATTCAGTTAGCAAAATTATGAAACTTTTTTTTGGTGCTATTAGGTGACATTTCCTTGAGATTTGTGTTGTATGTATGCTTGTTATATTTATATTTATAAATAAGCAAGATGGTGAAAAATACATTTAGGAAGGCTCATTTATAACATGCATAAGAGCTCTGCATAACTCATTTTTAACATGCTAAGAGTAATGGCGGATTCTTTGAACTGGATAACTTCTAAATAAATGTTAGCTAGAAGTTCAGTTTATTGTCAGAGCCTGGAGGCTTGAGAAGCATAGAGTTTTGAGAGGCTTGAGACAGTATGGATATGAAAGAGTGGCTTATACTGATTACACCAGAGAAAGATCCATGTTTCTGCAATCACAGTGTAGGAATTAGTGATGCTTTAAAGGTTTGAATGATTTTCTTGAAGTTAGACCTTTTTATTTGGTTAGAGAGATTACCATATCAGAAAATAGGAAGTCTCCATGTTTGAGTCCAAGAGCTTTGAGAACAAGTAACAGGCTATTAAGAGAATTTAAGAGCTATTAAGTATTGGGGAATATTTGAGAAGCACCATTCTTTGATAATGTGCCCTTTTTATTATAGCTAGTGGAATACCCTTAAAATTTAGATAATTATCCATCAAAATAGATACAATGGGTCTAAAATGAATCCAATTTTGATAAGCTGCCAGTCAATTAGCATTAGCGTGCTGAGGAAGGAGGGAACTTTGAAACAAATATGGTGGGGGGAAGAACAGTAAACAAAGTGCAGAATATTAAAAGTGTGGTATAATCTTCAACTTGCATTGTGTGTATGTGATATCTGAATTGTAGTTGGGTCCATGAAGATGAGTGCTATGTATCAACATTGTTTGTAACAGGTCTTTCTCAATTTTGTTGAGATAGTTTAGCCCAAATGCTCAAGAATCTGGGGAGAGGCGGCAGGATCTCGAGTTCATGTCTTGCCCCTCTCACCTAAAGAAAAAAACTTAAATTTTACAATAGCGTTTAAAGATGTGTGAGGGAGCTGCTATTATATGGACAGATAGCTTATAACAGTTGAACATGTATTGTTAATTTTACAGCATAATTCTAGAAATTGATGCTTGTTAACAACTTCAGAAGCTGGAATTTCCTGCTCCCCGCTTTTGGTTTTCTGTTTTGGTTAATTTGGCTCAATTTTTTCAAACTTCTAGTCTTGATAATGATGAAGCGATTTGCATGAATAGGCTGGTCTGAATGTGCAAATCTGTATCCTGTGTCCCTGGCCATTCTATTTTCTTACTCTTTAAGCTAGGGTCAAGGGGCCAGGTTTGCTGTTGAGCATTTCTTGTTTGGATATCATGGACTTGTATTTGCACTTTTTTGTGTATAATTTTGAGTAGTTGACAACAGCAGATCAATCTATTCAGGTCCCACAAGTTCTTGTAGAATGGTTTGCCCTGTTATTTTTATCTGCTGCTGTCCTCTTTGAACTGAAATGACCTGCTTTTGGGATTTGGTTTCCTCATCTGATTACTTCTATTATAATGCAGATTGGCCAGGGAACCTACAGTAATGTTTATAGGGCCCGTGACCTTGATCAAAAGAAGATTGTTGCTTTGAAGAAAGTAAGGTTTGATAACCTGGAACCTGAGAGTGTTCGCTTCATGGCCAGGGAAATTCACATCTTGCGCAGGCTTGACCATCCTAATGTAATAAAGTTAGAAGGCCTAGTTACATCAAGGATGTCATGCAGCTTGTACCTTGTGTTTGAGTACATGGAGCATGATTTGGCTGGGCTTGCCTCACACCCTGGTCTGAATTTTACAGAAGCCCAGGTAATTTTGGCAGTTTGTTTCTAATAAATTCTAATTCAATGGGTGTTTGCATTTTGCCGCGACAGGCTATCAGCTGCTAACTATGAAATTCATATGTAAATTGTCAATCTTAAAAGGTAGAACAGGTTTGATATTTGACTCATGCTTGTATGCTTTGGATGTTATGGTCTAATATGTATATGCTGGCAGGTGAAATGTTACATGCAACAACTTTTACGAGGACTTGATCACTGTCACAGCCGTGGTGTTCTACACCGTGATATAAAGGGTTCCAACCTATTAATTGACAACAATGGTATCTTGAAAATTGCAGACTTTGGACTAGCAAGTTTTTATGATCCTGCCCAGGTTCAGCCACTGACAAGCCGGGTAGTGACTCTTTGGTACCGTCCTCCAGAGCTTCTACTTGGAGCTACCTTCTATGGGATAGCTGTTGATTTATGGAGTACAGGTTGCATACTTGCAGAATTGTATGCTGGCAAGCCTATTATGCCAGGGAGAACTGAGGTGCTCTCCTTATCTATTCTCAAGAAAAAAAAAAAGTCTTTTAGGATTCTCCACCAAACAGAGTGTTTCTCTTAGATGCTTGCTATTTCATGTTATAATATACTGCAATGCAGATTATTTTTCATGGGCCATCATTCTGAGTACAATGTTGATAATTATTGCCAGATACAAATTTTATCCCATGCTAACTTCTAGATAGTTATTGCTTTGAAGATTGTCGAATTACATCCTGTCAGCAAAAAACCCACTAAATGGATCATTGACGTCTTCTCCACCCTACACAGAAGTGCCTAATTCTTTTCAGCATTTAGAAACTCAACTCCACATTCCAAGCTGTTGGGCAATGCAAGAAACATAGTTATGCACTTTCTACTACTATAACACTTAACACAAATACTAGGTGATAATACCTTATGAGTTCTCACCTTTGACAAATCATGGGTGTTGATCATAGGTAACCGTTGTCTTGATGTTTACTTTAACCTTGGAGGGTGCCTTATTTTTTCTATAAAGTTGGTTAACGATAAAAATAAGGGAACTTGAGTAAGAATAGGTTTTAGCAGTGTTTCAAGCTATTGTAAAAGTTTATTTAAAAAGAGACCGCAAGCTAAGACCTAGCACAGTCTGGTTTGTCTGAATTTCTTTATCATTTTGCAAAAATCTTACAATATGAAAAAGAAAAAGGATTTATCAAAAAGAAAAGATTGAAAGAGAGAATAATTATCACAAGATGCCGTATCCCTTTTCTGCTTTCTTATAATCTATGCAAGTGTCAAAAAAAAAAAAAAAACATTAGTGCAGCTACTTAAAATGTTGATGATTAGTTTGTATGCCTCTGCCTTGTAGGTGGAGCAGCTGCATAAAATTTTCAAGCTGTGTGGCTCACCTTCGGAAGATTATTGGAGAAAATCAAAGTTGCCTCATGCGACTATCTTTAAGCCTCAGCAGCCTTATAGACGCTGTGTTGCAGAAACATTTAAGGAATTCCCAGCACCAGCTTTAGCACTTATGGAGACCCTGCTCGCCATTGATCCTGCAGATCGTGGATCTGCAGCTTCTGCTCTGAGGAATGAGGTATGAAGTATCCATGAACTAGGTATCTTCCATTTTTGTGAGTGTTTTTTTTGTTCCTTTGGGGGTTGGGGGATTTGGTGTTATGTTGGAAAGTGGTTTATGGTCGTCTTGGTATTTTTTGGTTCAGAGATACATATTCGCTTCAATTAGAAGATCTATCTTGCTACACCTGACAGTGCATATATTTCAATTCTTTTTACCTAATAAGTAAATCACTCTCATTAACATTTCTTTCATTTTTAATTTGATCTTTCTAATAATTTTGTCTAGGATTTTTGTTATTATTGTCACTGAAATACATTTTGAGACTGAAGTCTGTTTTCCTTCCATCTCATGTGATACCATGTTGTTGCAATCTAAAAGTCACTGGAAGAATTTCTGTGTTTATGTAATTGGACAGAGGTAAATCCTGTTAAAACATTCAAGTTCATCTGGTGCCATCAGTAAAGACACAATAGCAGGCGATTCACACCACTCTGAAGTTGTATCATAGGGGGTTTAGATTGTGCTTAATGACGTTGGACAGGTCTTTAGCCATCTTATTGCATATATTAGGTTTCAGATCTCTCTATTATCTCCCTTCATTGTATTGTTCCACAACTAATCAACTTTACCAAACTTTTGTGGCTGCTCCTTTGATTCATTCCACCTTGTTTCTTCACAAAAGCACCCAAGCCCATTTTTCTCAATGTTGATTGTGTTTCTGTTAATCACATTTTGTCACTGCTAGCCTGCAACTATATGGGGTTGAGTTTTCGTCTATAATCTGTCGCCAAATGATGTGTTGCTTTTAGGATTTATTTTCTGTCCCTTGATCTTACTTGAAGACTCCTACAATTTCACTCTTTTATGCACTTTGTATATTTTGGTGTATCACATTTAGTTTGTGAATTTTCGACAACCATGAACAGTTTTGAATTTTAGTTGGTGGTTGATGAGTGTTTTCTTTTTTCTGTGATCAACTAAAAGAGAACTGTCTTTCATTTCCCTATGCTTCCTTCTATGTAACATGCTCTTTGAAAAAAAAAAAAATTGCATCTTATACAAGAGTGTGTTTGTTTTCTTATATTTGTTATTTCTTCTTTTTGTGTATGTCTTCTTTTTTCTGTGATCAATTAAAAGAGAACTGTCCTTCATTTCCCTATGCTTCTTCTATGTAACATGTTCTGACACTCGAGCTTATCTCTGTTTCCGGTTGATCAAGAAAATCCCTACAAGAGTGTGTATGTTCTTTTTGTGTTTTCTTTTCACCTTGCAATTTGTCAACCTTTTGGATGTAGCTCTGGTAACTGATCTTATATTTTTATTTTTTGAGTTCCTTATTTGTTATTATAGCTTCTTATGCAGCAGAGCTATTTTTTTTTTTTTTTGTAATCTTAACATAATTTTGGAGAATACCATCCATTTAATGTAACATATTGGTCCAAAACAGTTGGTAGCAAATGTGCATTTTGACTCTTTTTGTTGGACAAATAAATAAATCATAAGATGAGTATAATCTTCATGGCTGGCTGAGGCTGGCTCTAGTATTTATAGTTCTATTTTACAATTTTCTCTCTTGCTTTCTGTTAATTTGTATCTGACTTGTTTAGTTTTGTTTAAAGTTCTTTACGACCAAGCCGCTTCCTTGTGATCCTTCAAGTTTGCCTGATTATCCTCCTAGCAAAGAGTTTGATGCAAAAATGCGAGATGAAGAAGCTAGAAGGTAAACATTGTAAAAGAATAGAAATAAAGTTTTTCTCCTATTTATTGTTCATTTAATCTTTTGTTGTAAGGCTACTTGCAAAGGCCCATAAAAAAGGCTTTAAAAGATTTCCTTTTTGGCATGTTGGCTGCAGTTAATGACATTGTTAAAATATAGAAGTTGCGTGCACTAATTGAGAAAAGGGAAAAAATAGTTGAAGTAGGAATCAATTTGAATCAGATGAATGCAGTGTCTGTTAACATAATTTTGTGTTTTGGTTGTGACAGGTGCCTTGGTGCCCTTACTCATATTGCTTATTGTGTGTTTCTTACTGATCCACTAAACGATCCTTCGCACTTCTATCACTGATGGAATCCTTGACTTGTAAATGTAGTGTCTACTAACAATCCCATTTTTTGTTCACACAAACAGACATCGATCCTTCGCACTTCTATCACTGATGGAATCCTTGACTTGTAAATGTAGTGTATACTAACAATCCCATTTTTTGTTCACACAAACAGACATCGATCCTTCGCACTTCTATCACTGATGGAATCCTTGACTTGTAAATGTAGTGTATACTAACAATCCCATTTTTTGTTCACACAAACAGACAAGGAGCAGCAGGAAGCAAGGGTCAGAAATCTGACATGGAAAGAAGAGGGCAAAGAGAATCTCGAGCTGTTCCAGCACCTGATGCCAATGCTGAGCTAGTTTTATCAATGCAGGTGATTTCTTTAAGATAACCTTAGCTCTCTCAGGACACTTTTTTGCATGTGTGTGTGTACAGTTGGGAAAGGATTGTGATTAGGAGATGGGTATGCAGGCTTGCTGGGCCATGTGGTGAAGTTCAGAGAATTGCTGAGTTGAAAGATCGGTCAGAAGAGAAAGGAAGTTTTTTTTTAAAGCTAGCTCTGTTATAGATGAAACTAATAAACAAGCCAGTCATAACACAGAAGTCTTAGAACACTTCTTACTGCACTCGTCTCTGAACAATGAAGTATAAAGTAATGTGCCATCTTGCCATTCTGATCACATGGAAATTGCAATTCTCCACTACAGAAAACAGCTTTGTACAAAAGGCACTTTGTGAGACACAAGAAATCTTATCAAGTTTCTTTCTTTTGTCCTCTCTTTCGCCCTCTCCATCTTCCTTATGCCTTGAAAGCAGCAAGTCATATATATTTTTTATCAAACAACATCTCACTTCTGTCCTTTTGAGCTGCTCCAGCCCTGTTTTAAGCATTATTACCTAAATAATTGATTGTTTCTTGTTGTTCTATTTTCATGAATCCCATTATTTTTTGGTGCTCCATTTGATTAAATTTGATTTTACTAGTGAAATTTATATCAATGGATTGCGCTCTAATTACAGAAAAGACATGGTCGTCCAAATTCCAAGAGCCGGAGTGAGAAGTTTAATCCCCATCCTGAGGAAGTTGCTTCTGGATTTCCAATTGATCCCCCTAGACCATCACAAGCTGCAGAATCAAACATGGATCCTCAGGGTCATCAGCATAAGAGAGCCTCACATTCTGGGCCACTGTCTCACCATTCTGCATGGGCAAAGGCTGGCAGAAACCCCGAGGATGCTCCTAAGATTTACACGGGGGCTGACCTGCCAACAATTTCAAGCCTAGAGGCGGCGCGGAGGAGTTTATTATCTGAAGATCACAGAGAAAGGTCTGGCCTATCACAACCAGAAGTTCCAAAACTAATGGCACGGTTTCCAGGATCCTTCAAGGAAACCTCGGAATCCTTTGCCCAACAGGATCCAAAGCATCTGTCACAGGGTGTTGCAGGTTCCCTCCAAAAGGAAGATGGGAGAAATAACAGTAAAGATCCTGTCCTTGTAAGTCACTTCACAATTCAGTTTTCTTTTATTTCCTTGTTTGTTTATTTTTTTTGCTTTTTTGCTAAACCTTTTGATGTTTTTTTTAACTACTTGGCTGCTTTTTCTTGGTCTGCATCATATCTGCAAGTTGTTTATAACTATCTTTTCTAAGTTGATTGATTTACAATGTCATGTTTCCTGAATTCTGAGGAGCCCTTTTTTTTTTTTTGTGTTTCCTGATTCATTGTTCTTGTTAATTTGGATCCAGCTTGGCTATGGGTCAAAGGCTCACAAAATCCACTATTCTGGTCCATTGATAGTTCCATCAGGGAACATGGATCAGATGCTGAAGGATCATGATCGCCAGATCCAAGAAGCTGTTAGACGAGCACGCCTTGACAAGGCAAGGGTTAGAAAAGTCCAGGCTGAAAGCTACCAAATATCAGCCAATTCATTATTTGTTTCAGGTCGATGAGGTAAGCCCCAAAAGAGAAGTATTGCAGGGACTCTTAAGAGTAATTTGGTTGGTGGTTTCCTTCTGTGAAATATGAGTTAAAAACCGTTGGTTGGGGTTTTTGTATATGTTCTTAGAAAGATAGCTAGTGGCCATTTTAGCTACAAGATTATAGCTCACTGATAAATCTTCCCTCTGCAATTTATCACATGTATTTACTTTCCACTATCATTGCAATCTCAAAATTACTGACCATTCTTGGAGAGCTTTTGTATTAGCCATAAGATGTAGAGTATCTGGATGATGTGAAATTATTCTAGGGTGCTGCATCCACCATACCCATGATTCTAGTTTTTAAAGGTCCTGGTCCAAGAAGGTTTCAATTTGAAAATCCATCGTTGAGCCGTCTTCAAGAAGCTGCTGAGTGCGTTATTATCCTTCCAAAACAAGGTGGTGCGGTGCATGCACCAAGTTGCAATTACAAGACCGGTGATGATGGATGACACTTGACAGTGACGAACCCAGTTCTTGAAGCTGCGGGCCCCACCATGTGCTACTTTCTCCACTTAACAATCGCAGTTGAGTTACAGTTTCAGCTCTTCGAGCTTGTTACTTTATGGCACTGCAGAGCTACAATCCGGCACGCTTTCCCTCACTGGAGACACCACATTTTCTGGTGGTAGAGCCCTCTACCACTCCAAGATTCCCACAAGATACCCGAACCCCTCAAAGCTCCTGCCATTCTCGTCCTCCTTCACCTTCTCCATCACCCCTAACAACAATTGCCCCGCTGGTCATGGGTTTGCGTTCGTTCTCGTGCCTTCTCTAGGTATTGAAGGTGCCTCTTCACAACGGCATCTTGGTTTGTTTCTAGAACAGCAACAATGGTGGTTACCCTAACAACCATGTTTTTGGCATGGAATTCGACGTGTTCCAAAATCAAGAATTCAATGATATTAATGATAAACGTGTCGTGAACGCGCACTCTCTTCTTTGGTTGCCAAGGAAGCCGGATAGTGGTCTTATGCAAAGAACGATCGAAGCAAAGACTAAATGGTCTTTCCAAGAGTTGAGCGTAACCATGGCTCCTTCGCGCGCGCGCGCGCGCACACTGATTAATGTTCCTCTAGACCTTTCGAAAGAATTTCATGATGAAGTGTATGTGGGTTTCTGTGCATCTACTGGGAATCTTACCGAAAATCACAAAACTTTGAGGGGGACCTTCAAAGTGGATTTGATTATCATCTTCCAAGAGTTCACATTCAATGGGATCTGTTCTTCACATTATGTTGATGTGGTCTATATTTAGGAAGGTGGACCAGTGGTCCAGAGACGGCCTAACTATCGTCTTCGTGTTCATAAACAAATCTCATTGAACTTGAAAACACATTCAAGTTCACTGAATGTTTTGCAGTAACTGCCCACCACAAATAAAATTATTGGTTGTTTAAATGACAATGGAGGACGAGAAAGAGGATGAAACCTAGTTGCATGACAGATGAAAAATAAAAAAAAATTGTTTTTAATCATTTATTTTATTTTATGTGCACGCCAAACATTTACAGATAAAATGATATAATGCTAGGTACAGGCTTGTCCATTCTCGTATGCTTAGGTCGTTCTCTATGAATTTGGCTGAATACTGTCCTTGCTATAGAATTTAGACAACATTTTCTAGAAGGTTTTCTTTAGATATTTAAGGTGAAACATGATGAAAAATTATATAAATTCATGACATGTTTTACCAAAAATGAATGTTACAAGGGAAGGGAAACTACAAAATATGAGAGCTCGTACTCTAAGGGGACCAACGAGAAACCATGAGTCTCAAATCCTAGTCCAAACCCTAAGAAGCGTGGCCATTTTCAGTACATGAGTTTTTTTTTTTTAATTTGACTTAATTTAGAATTTTTAAACTGATTTAAATGTTTTTTTTCCTTTGTATTTTTGGATGGAAAGTGGTTGGATTCTAGGTCTTTGGGGTCCAAGTTTTTGAATCCTAATTTTTTAATTACAAAGATATTTTTGATGATAAAAACAATTAGTAGAATGATTTGTCATAGGGAACACATCTTTTGTCTAATGTTTTTAAAATAATGGTGGATATCATGTTATCATAAAAAAACCAAGTATATAAGCTTTAATTTTTGACCCGAGAACCCATAGGTTTTCATGTGGGTCAAAGAGGTAGGCTCATTCTTTCGGCTAATGCTCGCTTAGCCTTGTATTTTTTTTTTTTTGCATTTTATAATTTTAAAATAAATTTATTTAAATGATTTTTAAATAATTATTCAATTATATCATTATTTTCAAATAATATAAGTGTATTTTATGATAATATTAATAATTTATTTCAGAATAATTATTTATAAATTTAACGTGCCCAATTTTCTAAAAATGAATGAAATATCTATTTTTTTTATTTTTTTTTTCAAGTTTGTTATTATCATTGTTATTTTATTTTTTTAATACACTCATTCAAAATTATAAATTTATCATTTTTTTTATTAACATTATAATAAGTTCTTATTTAAAAAACATTACTTCTTATATTTTTTTTTGTAAAAAAAGAAGTCCCTTTTTTTTTAAATCATTAAATATTTTAATGGATTTATATTAACAATTACAACTATAACTTCTCTTCTTAATTTTATTTTCTCATTGATAACCTTTTTTCAGAATTTATTTATGCCAAGCTTAGGGTGCATGTTTGTCTTTTTGAAAATTTATATTTATAATTTTTTTGATCTGATATTTTTTTTTTGATAAAAATATACTGATAAAAAATTAATTCATATTGCATGTATTAACTTTTCAATTTTTTATTATTATTCTAGAAAATGCATTTACTATGATTGCATGTTATTGGAATGAAATACAGCAGCAAATTACAAGTACTTGGCTTGTATCGTGCTAATAGCCGTCGGATGGAGGGACCGCAAACATTACCGCTGTTACGAGGAAGGATCGCATGCTCCTAATTTTACATCAAATTGGAAAAAAAAATTTATTTTTATTTTTTTATTAATACATTAAAAAATATTAATTTAATATTTTTTTGAATATACTGTTTTTTAAAAAAGATTTAAAAACAAAACTGCTACGAACATCCTCTTAGATTACCTGACACCAGTCCACATCCTCTCTTATCAATCCTTAATTATTATTATTATTATTATAGTACTAATTAGTAATTACAACAAACAAAAAAATTTAATTACCTTAAATTAAACCCACCTCTTCCTCTTTCCTTCCCTCCTTCCTTGTATACTCTTATGCCTTCTTTTACCAACATTGGGGATCACAGAAAGAAGGGGGGAGGGGGGGAGGGAGAGAGAGAGATCCACAAAACTCAAACCCACATTTTAAGGTTGATTTTATCACTATTATTTCTGTTTTAGCTTCATTGTTTGTGCTTCATTACATTAATCAATAGTTTATTAGCTTCTTTTCTACCATGTGATGTGTGTTTCTTGTAAAATATTATTTTTAATGTCACTAATCGGATTAAAGAAACAAGAACAGCCCCCTCTAGTATTCTTAATTGTTTCTTACGTGCTGTTCTAACAAGAATCACATCATCAGATTAGTTTAATGATTCACACCAGTAACGCACGCTCTTATTTGCTTTTCATGTTCTCACCTTGAGAGTTTCCAATTCTAGAAAGCCAAGATCTTTTTTTCATCAAGAATTGTTTTTTTTTTGGCACTGATGGCCCACAAAGTTTTTTGGCTTCTTTGCAAAGAAATAGACAAACAAGGTTGAGGCTATGGTGGTGCCACGTAACTCAAATGGAATAAAGCGGGGAGATGAGCCAAAGAGCAAACCACGAGCTTGTGGCTTAAAACAGAAAGAATATCATAATAATTTCATGAAGAACTATATAATACATAGAGTGAAACAGAGCGAGAGAGAGATATTTTTTTTCTTTTTTAATTTGAAACATGTTGTTGATTTTTTTCTTTTGTGGAGGGGTTTTGTTTGATTTTATTTTTGAAGTTGTGAGGGAAAAATGAGGGAATTTATGAGGCTGTAGTGTTTAGTGGAGTGTAGTAACTAAAGTCTTGTTGTGTTGTGTGGTTCTCTTTTGGTCTAGCAGGATCAGAAATATCCATTCTTGGTGCTGCTACAGGTACTTATCCCTCCCTCCTTCTCTCTAGCTCTTCTTTTAAATGGCTGTATATAATATTATTGGGTGTGGGCTTTTGTTGGTTCTGATGCATGCGTTGTTTTTTTTCATGAAACCTCTGGGTACGTGTTTCTAATTCTACATTGTAAAAAGGGTATCTTCAGTATTTCTCCTTTTCTGGATATTATTGTACTTGTCTTTCATTTTTTTTTTTGTGCTGGTGCTTGCGTTGTTTTGGTGTTGAACAGTGCACGTGTGAGGACTTAGTTTTATAATTCTGGTGGATGAAGAAAGGAAAGGAAAATTGTGTGTAGTATAATGTAAGTGTTGATTTTTCTCTACTTTTTAAAAATTTTCTTATTGGTTCATTGATGTTAGGCTGGTTGCGGTTGTCTCAGGAGAAGTGTACTCGCTAAAAGATTTCATCTTATTTTCTGTAGTGTCCGCTGCACTGCAAGGTTAGTATTTTTACTTGAGGAGCTGAGTTATTGAGCTTTGGCTTGATCAGAAGCAAGGTTCTTTTTGCTATTTCTGTGAAATAAGGTATTGATTGAAGATGGTAATGCTGGAACTTAGCGAGTGTGGTAGTAGCAGGCGAATTCCTCGATTTCTTGGATGTGTTTGTTCTGGCTTACATGCAGCCCAAGGGGGGTAACCATGGAGGGCTCATCTGAGTCTGCTTGGCAGAAGTCTGGTAGTTATAGGGGATTTAATACTTCAGCAGTCACCAACAGGAATCTGAGATCCGCATCTTACAATTCTGGGTTTAGAAAGGAGACTGATAGGGTTATTCTGGCTCGTCAAATCCTAAAAAACCAGGCTGGTACTTTATCTGGGGTTTGTGAGGATGAAGCTGCAGTTGACCATTTCGTCCAAAACATGGAGTGGAACGATGTTAGCTTGAGGCATTGGTTGAACAAACCAGAACGGTCTGTTGATGAATTTGAATGTTTGCACATATTTAGGCAAATAGTCGAAGTTGTAAATGTGGCACATTCACAGGGAATTGTTGTTCACAATGTCAGGCCTTCTTGCTTTGTCATGTCATCATTTAACCATGTCTCCTTCATCGAGTCCGTTTCTTACTCGGATTCTGGGTCTGATTCTTTGGATGATGGATTGAATAGCCAAACTGTGGAGGTTAAAAATTCTTCATCTTCCCCCCATGACATGTGCCAGCAGAGAAGTAGTTTGCAAAGTGAAGATTTTCTACCTGCATCTACTCCAACAAATGCTTTATCGGAAGCCAGTTGCATGCAGTCCAGCTCACTTTATGCAGCAGATTTACCATTAGGGGAAGAAACAGAAGAAAAAAAAGTCCTTGGTACGAGGAACGTTGAACATGAAGAAGAAAGGAAACAATCATTTCCAATGAAGCAAATATTGCTGATGGAGTCCAGTTGGTATACCAGCCCTGAAGAGGTTGCTGGGTCACCAAGCTCTTGTGCTTCAGACATCTACCAATTGGGAGTTCTTCTTTTCGAGGTTCGTAATGATAATGTTGCATTTATGATGTTAACGATCAAAATTAGAGTGGATTCAAAACCATTTCTTGTATGTGTTTCGAACTTTTGACTTCTATTTCAAGCAGAAAGTTCTTCATTATCTAAATGGCCTGTAATAATGCCTTAAGAGCATCTTCTGTTTACTGTCTACATTGATGTCATATAGTTCTACTTGTGAACAGCTGTTCAACCCATTCACTTCAAGGGAAGACAAGAGCAGAACTATGTCTAGTCTCAGACATCGAGTTCTTCCTCCTCAACTGCTGCTCAAGTGGCCAAAAGAAGCTTCATTTTGCTTATGGTTACTGCACCCTGAGCCAAGTAGCCGGCCAAAAATGGGGTGAATGTTAATTTCCTGTACCTTTGTTTACTTTGCATTTTATGGTAGCATCTGCCTTGATATGGGGATGAGTTTTCTCGAGCTCTTCAAACAAGTACATTGTGTGCTTATGGTTACTGCACCCTGAGCAAAGTACCTTTTTTGATTTACATTTCATCTGATTTCTGTTCAATCAAATTTTCATTGTCTTACTCTCATGTATCGTGTGACAGAGAATTACTGCAAAGCGAGTTTCTTAATGAACCAAGAGACTATTTGGAAGAGCGTGAAGCAGCAATACAGCTTAGAGAGAGAATAGAGGAGCAGGAATTGTTGCTGGAATTCCTTTTACCAATGCAAAAAAGAAAGCAGGATGCAGCTAATAAGTTGCAAGAAACTGTTTCTCTTCTATGTTCTGATATTGAAGAAGTCACAAAGCATCAAACTTTTCTTAAGAAAAAGGGAAGCACATGTAAAGAAAGTGGAGAAGGTGATCATTTAGCATCAAATCTCCCTCCCCTGAGCATTTATGATAATGACGATTCTTCTAGCATGGGTTCCCGAAAACGATTTTGCTCAGGTCTTCAGATTCTCAACATAGAGGGATGTGATGATAATCTCGATGAAGGTCGGAACTCAGATACATTTGTAGAATCACAGGAAAGTCCTCTTTTTAGAAGTTCTCGATTGATGAAGAACTTTAAGAAATTAGAGTCAGCATATTTTTTGACAAGATCCAGACCAGTCAGGCCACCAGGGAAACCACCATTTGTTAGAAATTCACCAGTAAGTGGTGATGGGAGAGGTTCCATTGTTGTGACTGAAAGAAGCTCCATAAATAGTTTAGCACTGAAGGATCGGTTTATTGAGGGTAGACAAAGTGGATGGATAAGTCCATTCCTTGAGGGTTTGTGCAAGTATCTATCTTTTAGCAAGTTAAAAGTGAAGGCTGACCTGAAGCAAGGGGATTTGTTGAACTCTTCGAACCTAGTCTGCTCTATTAGTTTTGATCGTGATGGAGAATTTTTTGCTACAGCTGGTGTAAATAAAAAGATAAAAGTATTTGAATGTGATACAATTATAAATGAAGCTCGTGATATCCATTATCCTGTTGTTGAAATGGTCTGTAGGTCAAAGCTAAGCAGCATATGTTGGAACAGATATATTACAAGCCAAATTGCTTCAAGTAACTTTGAGGGTGTGGTGCAGGTAATGGCTCAAACCTAATATTGGATGAGGCTTTTGTCTTTATTTCACTCGATTGTAAATCAGTTGCTCAACATGTTCAGGTATGGGATGTTACAAGGAGTCAAGTGGTAACAGAAATGAGAGAGCATGAGAGGCGTGTGTGGTCCATTGACTTTTCATCAGCAGATCCAACAATGCTGGCTAGTGGGAGTGATGATGGTTCAGTCAAGCTATGGAGTATCAATCAGGCAATGCTACTTTTGCATTTGTTGGATGTCAGCTTTGAAACTGAACGTGCTAATGTTATAGAATTTCTTAATGTGCTAATTTAATTCTGGACATATAATAAGCTGATCCTCATACTTGATTTTCTTATGCAGAGAGTAAGTATTGGTTCCATCAAAACAAAAGCCAATGTCTGCTCCGTTCAGTTTCCCATGGATTCTAGTCGTTCTATTGCATTTGGTTCAGCAGATCATAGAATTTATTACTATGATCTCCGTAACTCAAAAGTTCCTCTATGTACATTGACTGGACACAATAAAACTGTGAGTTATGTGAAGTTTGTAGATTCAACCAATCTTGTTTCTGCTTCCACGGATAACACGCTGAAGCTCTGGGATTTGTCAATGGGCACGTCTAGGGTTATTGATAGCCCCATTCAATCCTTCACAGGCCACATGAATGTAAAGGTATGTTCAGTTCTCATACAATAATAAGCTACTATTTTTGACCTTTTTTGCAAGTGATATTGGATGAGAATTGACCTCATTTTGATTAGCTGTTAATTTTCCTGGTCTGTCACAGTTGTGGTTAGTTTGAAGTTGCACTAGAATCAGGATTTGCAACAAAGAAAACATTATGGTTTTGCTAGTCATGAAAGCCTGTGCCTTCGAAGTTGATTTTCTTTCAAAACATGTTTTGCTTGGTTGGAAAGTTAGCTTAAGATTTATCAAGTATATGTTTTGGAGAATGCATATGACCCTCTGAAAGTATTAATAAAAAACTGCACAATTGGTCTTCATGCATGCTAGTTATATAGTTGGCAGAACTAGGGCTGCTAAGCATTGCAAATGGGGGTCACTGGCAGCAGATGAGGTGACTGAAATTCATTATTGCAAGTTAATATACTACTGTATCTCGATGTTTCTTTGTGTTGATCTACTGTGAAATTTGTTGAGTTCTATCAGCTATGCCGGAAGCTCTGATAGCAGTATTCTCATGGATTTATACTTGAATACAAAGTTCTAGAATAGTCTGTTTATGCTCATTGAAGTTAGGGATTGGATGCTCATAATTATTATGACTGGTCATCATGTTAAATATTAGAAATTGAAATGCCTACTAAAATAATGAACTAACAAAGGAAACATGGAAGGCTTTTTTTTTTTTTTTCTGGCTTAGGTACTTCACCATGCATATAAATTTGATGTTAAGTTGCTTCAATTTCATAGTTTATTATATGTTTGATGTACTATTCACAGTGATAAGTGTGTTTTATTGGTGGTGGAAAATTGTCCATGCTTGACATCTTTTGTCTATGCATGCTTATGTTGTAGAACTTCGTGGGTTTGTCTGTATCAGATGGATACATTGCAACTGGCTCGGAAACGAATGAGGTACTATATATCTTACTTCTTTAGTATTTAGAGGTACCTTGCCTTTCCTCAATGGATAAAATTATGGTTTCTTTTCAGTGGCAAAACGAACTTAACTGTATCCCCTTACTTTTCTTATGATGGCATAACCATCCAAGAACTCGTGGCCTCTCTCTTCTTGTTTGACAAGCCTTGTTGCTTGAGCTGCATAAGAACTTAGGAACTTCTTTAGAAAATCAACTTTTCCTCGTCAAATGTTCAGTTGCTTTTTGGATAACTGTGTGGAGCTTTCCATACATCTAACTAGGTTAACTCATTAGATTCGCAGCCTTGGAAAAGTCGACTGTAAATTAAGAAGACCTACCTTAATGGACACCGAAACATAACCAGCATCCATAATAGGAAACAATTTCATAAACCAAATATCCTCATATTACAGCAATACAAGCTACTCTCTCACCTTTTCTTACCTTTACTTCATATTACAGCACTACAAGCTACTTTCTCTTACACGTCAAAAGACTGTAGCATCTGTTTCTTCTTCAGTTTAGTTTTCTTACTTCTAATGTTTAGGAAACAAGACATATGACTGAATTTATGCAAGAAGTGAAGGAAAGAAAAGGAGGAAACAAGAACACGATAAACTTTATACGATTCGTTTTAAATTGAGGTCAAGCTTCACTATGAAATTGGATTGGCTTATCAAACTCCGGCCCCGATGCACCCATTCCTTACAAGAAACTCAACTTGATTTTTTCTAAACCCCAACCCTTTTAGTTCTAGAATTAATATACATAGCAAACCAAGTGGGCAAAAAGGAAAAGGGGCCTAGTAACTAGTGAGCTAGTTCAAGACATATCCCAACACTTCACCTGCGCTCTTTTTGGCAGCACATGATCTTTTCCCTCGAGCTCCAGAGTTCAATCCATCTAACACGAATTGCATTGGTTGTATTGACTTTTGTGTGACACAAGACTCAAAACTTCTATCCCCTTTCCATTAGTTTGTTCAACAAGCTTGTATCAGTTTATAAAGGGAGGAATGGAGACTGAGTTGAATGGAAGGCATAATTAAGTTGTTAAACAACAATATAGCAATACTCTTTTCACTCGCATCATGATATTGTATTAACTTTAAGCTGCTTTTATTTTCGTGATTGTGATGGTGCCTTTTTTTTTTGAATTGCCTAACTCTTAGCACCCATCAAAACTCAAGCAACTATGCTAGTGAAGTGACTTCTACAGCGCACATTATAGTACAATGCAAGTTTCATTCATTCATTAAGTTTAATATATATTTTTTTTTTTGGTGGAATAGGTTTTTGTCTATCACAAGGCTTTCCCTATGCCAGTGCTGTCCTTCAAGTTTAACAACACGGACCCGCTTTCTGACCATGAAATGGATGACGCTGCACAATTTATTTCTTCTGTCTGTTGGCGTGGCCAGTCATCTACTTTGGTTGCTGCGAATTCTACTGGGAATATCAAAATCTTGGAGATGCTTTGATTTGGTCGACGCTCCAGACAACATGATTTTAGCTTAAAGGACCAAAGATGGTCTCAGTGCAGCAAAAATGGAACGAAGACGATAATCTTTCACCAAAGGCAATTGTGTAGCTTACTTGTATAGGAACCGGGTGTTTTTTTTTTCTTCAAAAAAGAAAATATATAAACAAGTTTTGGAATTAGATAATAGCAGAAATAGTCAACACGAGAAATAATGGTCTCGATTCACTGTATTGTAGATAGAATTCAGGGGGAAGGAGGAGCAAAAATTATGTCTTGTATATTCTGGCAATGGTTATAGTTGATCATTTTTTATAATTATAATGGATGTTAACTTCATCCTTTACCTTTTAGTTGATGTAGCCACTATGTTAGAGTTCAATATTAGCTAGGAGTTCATGGTTGGAGATACGATCAAAAAATTGATATTTTTTTGAAGTATAGGAGTATCGAAGTAATAAATAATCCGACAAGACTGAAATCGAACCACATGGAAATTAATTGTATAAATTATAAATAACAATAACATAATAATAGCAAATTCATAATAATAATAATAATAATAATAATAAAGAAGAAGAAGAAGAAAAAAAAATGATGAGAACTTTGAGATGGAAGATCAATATAAGGATTAAATAATGATAATAACAAATGTCAAGGTTAGAGGATTCACTAATGATATTTCAAACAAGTATAGTATAAACTCTTATTATTCAACTGAAACTACATATAAAGGAGGTTCCAATTGGATTATGAATTATTAACATGATTACATTAGTTATCTTATTCGAGTAATGCTAATACTTGTAAATATTATCAGGCATTTATGATTATAACTTATGTTAATAATAAATCAAGTTCCTTTCATAGCACAAGTGTAAGTTATACCATACGGTTGGGCTATGAAAATACCAAATATTTGTTGTACCAAGTGTTATACAACATTTGATAACGTCAAAATTGAAACCACTTGTGCTTATGAAAGTTTTAGGTAATTATCTCATCTTTCCAGGAAAAAAATGAGGTCATTTGGACTTCTAAAATTCCAGATATGGGCCAAACACTGAACAGTATCTGGGTTGTAGGATAAATTCAGACTTCTTTGTTGTCGCTATAATTTGGACTTGAAAACGACCTTTTTAAAACCAGACCTCTACATGAAAGTTGTAGGCCTATGCCTTACCTTTCCATCCATATAAAGTGGACCAAAATTTGAGATCTACAACTCCAAATATGACCTAATTACCAAACAGTGTTCTAGTTTGGACTACACCAGCATCTCTTTTCTAAGTTTGGCCATCTCTTTGTCCTTTCAATTTCAGTACTTAAACTCATCAATCAATCCTTTCATTTATGTAATATGCCTACATTTAAGATGAACATTTATCACAAATTAAAGGTACATTATATTATTAGATATGCTATTATAAAACATGCTTTAGTTAAGGAGTTATAGATATTTCAAGTGCAAAATGATGATATAAAACCTTGATAAAAATATACTTTTAAGTACTAACCAGTTCGTAAGATGTTCTAATATTGTTAGAATTTTGCAACATTAAGATCAATGATTTATTAGAGTTATATTATAGTTATGAGATAGTTGATTAATTTCTAGATAGAATACAGAACTCTTAGGATTTGTAAGGCTATTTAAAACCACCTTGAACATTCAGAAAATAAGAATAAGAATAAGAGAAAAAAGGTAGCAGTTGTTATGTTTTTTTTGAAGTAAAATCTGCCTAGGTTGAAAAGGAGAGGAGTAATCGTAGTTGAGAAACAAAAACAAAAAAACACATACATAACAACAGTTTACACCAGATGTAGCAATTTGCACCAGACACAACAACCTCCTTATTCATGGCAGTAACTTGTAGCAGCAGCAACAACGATACTTCTCTAGCATTAGCAAGCAAACGTAACAACAAGCTCGTAGACTTTGCAGTAATAAAATAGTCATAAAAACTCCTCCAACACCAGTAGCCACTTTCCTCTCGCTAGAAGCAAGTTGAAGAATAGCTTCCAAGTTGATTGAGTATCACTGGCGGTTTGTAACCAATCTCAGGTTCAATAGTTGTTAGAAAATTGACATTTTAACTTTAGTGTTTCAGTTTGTTTAATTGTTATTCAATCAAGTGTTGTTTGTTTTCTTTTCTTTCATTTCTGTTATGACTTTGTTAAAGTAAATTCCTTGTTTTTCTAGGGATGTTGTTAAGTTAGTGGCAGCACATTGTCCACTACAGTTAATGGTTGATAACTAGGAAAGTTTGTTAATTTTTTTCATGTATTTAAAGACATGTAGTTAATAAAATAATTTAAGAGATATTTTTATCAAATACCTTGTGTGTAGTTTGTGTTCTTCAATACCCAACATTGCTGTTCTTGATTATGCATCCCTTCACTTGTACAAAACATAACAACACAATTCATAATAGTGGTATCAGAGCACTCTTAGATCTTACAAGACCAATTTTTTTTTTCAAAATCTTAAAATGACATCCAACAACCTACTTTTAAACTCCCCCATTATTGTTCACCGGTGAAAACTACCACATTTTGTCAGTGAAGATGCAAGCCTTTCTTGAAGTTTATGATCTTTGGGAAATTGTTTTCGAAGACAAACCAGTAGCTCTCTTACCAACAAATCCCACTGTGGCTCAAATCAAGTTCAGCAGTGAGGAAAAGGAAAAGAAATCCAAGGCAAAATTAATCATCCAGAATTCTGTGGCAGAAAGCATTTTCTATAGAATTATGGCATGCAATTTAGCCAAAGAGGCTTGGAACATACTAAAAGAAGAATACCAAGATAGTGACAAAATAAGGCAAATGCAAGTGCTAAATTTGAAGAGAGATTTTGAGGCACTTAACATGCAAGAAGATGAAACAATCTCCAAGTATTCTGATCAAATTTCACTAATTATCAACAACATCAGATTACTTAAAGAAGACTTTCCTGATAGCAGGATTCTAGAAAAGGTTCTTGTGACTCTTCTTGAGATGTTTGAATCCAAAATCTCCTTTTTGGAAGAATTAAAGAACCTGAGTAAAATCTCATTAGGTGAACTAATGAGTGCTCTTCAAGCATAGGAGCAACGAAGAACAATAAGGCAAGATAGATTGACTGAAGGAGCCTTTTATATGCAAAAACAACAAGCTGGAAAAGGAAAAAAGTTATTTAATCTGAGGATTAAAGGCAGAAATGAAGGGGACAACACTGGTGAAGATTCAAAACAAAAAAAGTTTCCTCCATGCACTCATTGCAAAAAAAACACACATTTTAAAAAATATTGCTGGTAGAGGCCAAATGCAATTTATAGAAATTTTAAGCAATCAAGGCACATCACAAAGGTTTGCAAGTTTAAAAATTCAGACCTAAAACCTCAACAAGCTTACCTAGCAAATGAAGTTGATACACGGGAGAAGCAATTCTTTGCTATCACTTGTTTCTCAACAAATGATTCAGCTGATACTTGGCTTATTGGCAGTGGATGCATACACCATTTGTGCAATGATGTTGAAATGTTCAAAACCCTTGATGAATCTTACAAATCTAGAGTAAAGGTTGGCAATGGAGAATTTTTGGAGGTCAAAGGCTGAGGGTCAGTAAATGTTCAAACAAGTTTAGGTATCAAAATCATTTCTGATGTGTTATTCATACCTGAAATCAGTCAAAATTTGTTGAGTGTTGGACAAATGATGGAGAAAAACTATTCTCTTTAGTTTAAGGATCATAAATGCAATATCTTTGATCCTTCTAGAAAACAAGTGTTCTATGTAAAGATGAAAAATAGAAGCTTTGTTGTTGACTGGGATAAAACATCCAATCATGCATATGTAAGTGCTACTCACGATGTTTTAAATATTTGGCATAAAAGATTTGGACATTTCAATCAAAAGGGCTTGTCAATTCTGAAACAAAGGGAAATGGTTGAAGCATTGCCCACATCTAATGGTGAGATTCAATTATGTGAAACATGTCAACTTGGCAAGTAATCAAGGCCACATCCTAAAGGGCAAGCATGAAGAGCCATCCAAAAGCTTCAGCTCATCCACACTGACGTGTATGGACCTATGAAGACAGCCTCATTATATGGTAACAAGTATTTCATTCTCTTTATTGATGATTATATTAGGATGTGTTGGGTGTATTTTATCAAATTTAAGAGTGAAGTATTTACAATCTTTCAAATATTCGAAGCTTTAGTTGAGAATCAAATTGACATGCTAATTAAATGTTTAAGATCTGATAATGGTACTGAATATACCTCGAATTAGTTTTTTGAGTATTGCAACAGCAGAGGCATTGTGCACCAGTACACTATACTATACACACCACAACAAAATGGTATGTGTGAGAGGAAGAGCATGACAGTAATAGAGATGACTAGATGTCTCTTACTTGGAAAGAAAATGCTGAACAAATTATGGGTAGAGGCAGTCAATACCTCTATTTACTTGCTGAACCGACTTCTAACCAAAGCACTAGAGGACAAGACACTATATGAAGGCTGGAATGGTGTCAAACCTGTTAGAGATCATCTTCGAATCTTTAACAGCATATGCTATTATCATATAGCTAAGCCAAAGAGGAGTAAACTTGACAACAAAGCTCAAAAGGGAGTTTTTATGAGCTATGAAATAACAACTAAAGGACACAAAATCCTTTACTTACAAACAGAGAAGGTAATTCTCAGCAGAGATGTGAAGGTTGATAAAGCAACCACATGGGATTGAGAACATCATAAAAATATAATTTTTGATCATCCATTCATCATTCAGCCTCAGCTGGAAACTGATGAATCACTGGATGACTTTCTAGTTACAGGCACAAGATCATTGGAAGATATTCACCTAAGTTGCAACATGGCAATTCTAGAACCAACCAGTTATACTGAAGCTCAAGAATTTCCAGTATGGAGGAGAGCAATAGAGGCAGAAATGGAAATGATCAATAAAAATGCAACATGACAGCTGATTAAAAGGCCTAAGCATCGCAAAGTGATAGGTGTAAGATGAGTTTTTAAAACAAAACTCAATCCAAATGGGTTGATATACAAACACAAGGCTAGATAGTGGTAAAGGGCTATGCTCAGCAATATGGTGTGGACTACCTAGAGACCTTTGCTCCAGTAGCAAGGTATGATACTATTAGACTTCTCATTGCACTTGCAGCACATAATTCTTGGCAGATTCACCAATTTGATGTCAAGTTTATCTTCTTGAATGAATTTCTTACTGAAGAAATCTTTGTAGAGTAACTCGATGGATATGTTGTTAAATATAAAAAAGATCATGTGTATCAACTTAAGAAGGCCTTGTATGGGTTGAAATAAGCTCCCTAACCTTGGTA